TTGTTGGTTGGTGCATAAATTTGAATAATTGTTGTTATTTTGCCATCGAGTTGGCCCCGACTCATAGTGACCCCTCCTTGGGTTTCCTAGGCAGTATCATTAGGGAGGTAGATTGCCCAACCTTCCTTCCAAGGAGTGGCTTCTGGTAACCACCAGCCTTCTGGTTAGCAGTCAAGTGCCTTAGGCACTATGCTACCCGAGCTCCTAAATTTGAATAATAGTAGTATTTATTGGTCTTTCTCATAGATGTATGGATATTATCCTATCACTGACAGTATTGTACTTCAGGATAGATCTTGATACATTCTTTGTGATGATGAATGCCACACCATTCTTCTTTAATTTATTATTCCTTGCACAATAGATCATATGATCATCTGATTCAAAATGACAAAAACCAGTCCATTTCCACTCACTAAGGCCTAGGATATTGATCTTTATGTGTTCCATTTCATTTTTTATAACTTCTAATTTTCCTAGATTCATACTTCATAAATTCCATGTTCCAATTATTAATGGATGTTTATAGCTGTTTCTTCTCATCTTGAGATGTGCCACATCAGCAAATGGGGGTCCCATAAGCTTTACTCTATCCACATCATTAAGGTCGGCTGTACTCTGAGGAGGCAGCTCTTCTTCAGTCATATTTTCGGTGCCCTCCAACCTGAGAGGCTCATCTTCTGGCACTATATTGCACAATATTTCAGGAGTATACGTAAAGTCTTCCAGTAATATATTAGACAGTGTTTCACTGCTATTCGTAAGGTTTTCCCTGGCCAATTCTTTGAGAAGTGGCTGGCTGCTTCTTTCTTCTGAGACTGTCTTAGTCTGGAAGTTTTGCTGAAACCTTTCCACCATGGGTGACCCTGATAGCGTTCAAAATACCAGTGGCATGGCCTCCAGCCTCACAGCAACACTCAAGCCACCACAGTATGACAAATTGACAGACAAGTGTGTCTCCCTTAGCTGTTCTAAACTGCTCTGTTCATTTCCTGGTCTCTTCCACCCTGCTTACTTACCCAACCTGCCCCTGCATCACCTTCTGCTGGTCCCAGGATTGGTCAATGCGGCCTGCACCCAGGGCAGTCCATGCACACAAACAACCCAATAACTGCCTTCCCCTGGTCCCAGGGCTGGCTTACTGCAGCCTGCAGCCAGGAAAGCACCACACACGTAAACATCCACCTTCTGCTGGTCCTGGGACTCGCTTACTGCCACATAGGTTTCTACATAAAATAATGATCCCCTTTAGTGGTGCATCAATTCATTTAAACATCTCCATTGGCATTTGTTCAATTCCTGGAACCCTATTTTTTGCCA